ATGATGATGATGATGATGATGATGATGATGATGATGATGATGATGATGATTTGGTATTGGAGTTTTGGCTGAAATCCAACTTGCAATAGGCCCAGTGGGTCCCCAAATTCATCCTGTTGTTATTTCCCCAGTCCCAGAATATACAGTTGGGATAGATAGACTTAGAAGTTGGCAAAACTACCACATTGGTTCCTAAAACTGCATGTTGTCCTCTACCCATCCTTCCCACATCATCCCCACACTATTGTGAGTATAGGTGAGTGTGCCACTCTGCATGTGGGAAAATCAGAGGACAACTTTTTTTTTTTTGACACAAGCTCTCATGTACACCAGGCTGGTCTAGATGTCATTATACATCAGAGGATGATCTTGAACTTCTTTTTTTAAAGTATTTACCTTGTGTGAGTATAGTGTATGTATCTGCAGTATATTGCGTGCAGTGTCCATTGAGGCTAGCAAAGGGGTCAGATCCCATGGAACTGGAGTTATAAATGTTTGTGAGCCTCCAATGGGTACTGGAACTAAACCTGCATCCTCTGGGAGAACAACCAGTGCTCTCAACTGCTGAGCCATCTTTCCAGGCCTGACCTTGCACTTAACCTCCTGAGTGCTGAGGTTAGAGATGTGCACCAGGGCATCTGGTTTATATTCTTGTAGGAACAGAACCCAGGCATTCGTGCTGAGGAAGCAGTCCACCAATTGAGCTGTATTTCTAGCCTTGCAGCAGGGTGTTTAGTGTAGATGAGGCTAGCCTTTTTCCTCAGCCTGCTGAGTGGTGGGCTTCTAGATTTGTGCCACTGCCCTTGCAGGTAGCTTTTCATGTTATGGGTCTCTTGTCTTCTCAGTCAGAGCTGAGTTTCACCTGCTGGAGCTCTCATGCTCTTGTTTAGAGCCTAGCACAATGCTATGTACATGGCAGATATTCTGTAAGCATTTGTTTAAGAAATGAACAAAGGACTAATTGAGTCCTGAGCTTTTTGGCTAGTCACTGCTGTTAGGCATTCTAATGGAGCAAGGGTGTTTTCTGACCTCTATCTTTTCCCTCCCCAGGAAAGGCTAATCGGTGGTTCGGGATGGCACAGCCCAAGTCTGGAAAGATGAATATGAACATCCTCCACCAGGAAGAGCTCATCGCTCAGAAGAAGCGGGAAATTGAGGCCAGAATGGAACAGAAGGCCAGGCAGAGTCACGCAGCCAGTCCACAGCCCCCTCATCCTGGGGAGTAAGTGGCTTCTGAGGCTGAGGGCAGCTGAGTCTCAGTGTGACAGGACACAGGATGGTGTGACAGCAGAAGGGGGTGGTGTGCACAGGTTCAGCTGTGCTGCTACATGCGTGAACCTGGAGCTCAGGAGTAAAGGCAGGAGCACCCAGAATTGAAGGTTATCACTATATGTGAAGTTCAAGGACAATTGGCTTATGTGAGACCTTGTTTCAAAAAACAAAAGGCTTGGTTTATAGGCCTATATGCCTCCCATGGCTGTTGTCAACGTAGTTGAGTGGCATTGCGTCTGTTCATAGACTAGGGCATAGGCTGTTCATGGCTCAGTGATAGAGTGCTCACGGGGCATGCTTGAGGCCTTGGATTACATCTGTAGCATTGGAGAAAAAATGGAGGGTGTATCATGTGTATACTGAACACGTATGTGCTTTTCATATTTTAATTATTAGTTCAAGCTTGTGTACGCATGTGTGTATGCACATGTATTCACACATGTGGAAGCCAGGGTCAACTTTGGATATCTTTCCTTAGGACTTGTTTACATTTCTTTGTTCTTTTTTTTTTTTTTTTTTTTTTTTTTTTTGGGAAAATGTGTCTCTGTGTAGCCCTGGCTGTCTTGGAACTTGCTCTGTGGACCAGACTGATACTTGAGATCTGCATGCCTCTGCCTCCTTGTTTTTGTTGTTGTTGTTATTTTTGTTTTGTTTCGTTTTGACACAGGGTCTCACTGTATAAATAAGGCTGTCCTGAAACTTGCTGTGTAGACCAGGCTAGCCTTGAACTCACAAAGATCCAGTTGCCTCTGCTTTTGAGTGTTGGGATTAAAGGTGTGCACCACCATGCCTGGCCACATTGGATTTTGAGAGAAAGCTTCTCACTGGCCTAAAACCCAGCAATTAGTGGTCAAGAAACCCCAGGGATCCTCCTGTCTCTGCACATACCATTCCACCTGGCGTTTTGAACATTATTTCTGGGGATGGAACTCCAGTCCTTGCTTTTGCATGGCAAGCCCTCAGATGAACTCTCCCTGGTTTTTGAGACAAGGTTTTCTTGCCTCACTTTGCTGAGAGTTGGGGTTACACAGTCCCAGCAACTGGGTTTATCTTCTCAGCATTATTTGCTAAGCAACACAGAAGACTGACAGCTGATTGCACAGCATCTGTGTGCAATAGTTGCTCTGAGTCATCTAGAGATCATTACAGTGCACAGTAGAACTGTGTGTCCCATGCAAATGCCACATGGTTCTCTCTTAGGTGCTGGAACAATGTGAGGATGATGCCAGGGCCCGAGAGTCCTCCAGAGTCTCAGCTGCTAAACAGGAGGCTGGTTTTTC